AGCTCACCGCAGTCACCGATACAGAGGATCCTAGCACTGGCCCCGCTGCCGGTCCATCACGTACCGGTGAACGCACGAGAACACACCCAAACACCACTCTAGCCACGAATGGAGCACTGAGGGCAAGGCCTCGCTGCATTATTAGTGACGACCAAGGGAACCACGACGGTTTCCGCCACCTGGCCTCCAAGTAGCTGGATCACGGACGCTAGCCGCCAAACCCTTAGTGTGCGTCACGACGAAGATTTCAAAACTGTCTTTTCATTGAAACCCGGTAATTCAGAAACGTGTCAAGTTTGTACCGTGATGAATCAAATGTTCAAGGTCGATGTTCAAAATAATAAACCTTTTAAAGCAGGGTTTGCAACAGGGTTTAAAACCCTTTTTTTCCCAAGAAGTTGGAAATGCATTTTTCATGACGTTGTTTGCTTTTTATTACCTGACATTTTGTCGCACACATCTTGAAAGCAGCCAACAATTAACCAAGCTTGAGAACACGCCGACTAAACTTATACCATGTGCCCTCAAAAAACAGATCAATCGGACAATGTAGGCGAATTAAAACTGTTTTCCATATGAATGTCGAGAAATTCTTCTGGTTTTTGTTTATTCGAAATTTCATGTCGGCAAGACTGGTCTGCATCATTCCAAAGGAATATTCTTGATATCCAGTCGATATTTGTCAATACTCATGATTGTTGCAATTAAACAAATTAATATGTCGCTTAGTATTGGAGTTCCGATAACTTTAGTATCCCGCAAAATTCACGAAATTGCGCAAGTCTCTACATTAAAACAGTCAAAGAAGTCCTTGGGGGATCTAGTTTAGATTGAATTTCATTTGAACAGCTTTTCGCAATTTTGTAACTTACAAAATCGTCCGACAGAGTAAAAAACGAAAAATTTAACTAGATATTTCTAACCCACATTTTACAAAATATTACAGTGCAGAAAATTCATGTACTAATTTACATTTGCAACGGTCATGAAAATCTACTAAGGTATTTTCCTAAGCAAACGATGAACCCTCTTCAAACCTCTTCGTTTTAAGCAGTGGTTAAGCTGCGAATGAAGAAATGATTTATTGTTTCTGCTAAAAATCAGGTTACATATAATGCAACAGTAATCAAGCGTTTAATAAACGCTATGCAGGAAGAAATCTATGACTTGTGGAATTAATATCAATGTTGAGACGGTGGTGATCAACGAACTTGTTGTTGCCGATGTTGCTGTGGTTGTCGGGACAGGAAGTGAAATCTTTCGACATTGTTTTCTGTAGCATTCGTATCCGTTCGGGCAGTTGCCGCAAGAGGGTCCGCTTTCATAAGGCGGCTGCGTGATTTGTAAAACGCTGAGGAAAGATGTTCAAAATTAGTGATTGAAACTCGATGTCATTGTAAATGACTGTTGCAACTTACCCGGGATCGTAAATGCACACCATGATATTCGGGGGCAGTATAGCAATGTTCCTGGTTTTGCAAACACCCTTTGCGCACCCGACTCCCGTTGACGCAGCATACACAACCTATCGACCAAAATATTCAAATCCGTCTTAAATATGGTGCAGTAAATCTGGTATATCTTTGTATTTTGGCAAGACTTGGCTTTATGCTGTATCTACATTTCGCCACACGTTATAATCACTTAAGTCAGAACCAGCTAGTATGACCAGTGTGTATTTTGAAGGCGTCACTCAGGCATTGGAGAGAGCAATTACAGTTGCACATTTTAGTGCCAGACAGTTAAATTTAGTTAGTACTCAATGATGCCCAGTCAAATGCGTATTGCTAGCCGTAGAACCTGTGTCTCTAAATTCATGTGCAACTTCAAATGTTGTATTTTCTACTTGATGGCATTCTGAAAAGTCACATAAGTATAAAAATAATTGAAATAAACTAACAAGCCATTTCACTAACTTGCTTGTAGTTGTCACATTCCAGTGAACACTTGGCAGGGTCAAGATCATATTGGAATTTGGCAACATTGCACAACTCGCCATACTGGGGTGGTTTGTCTGGAAATTCAGTGAAATAAACCCCGACATTTTTAAACAATGGATCTGTCTCAATTTTTCCAGTGC